ATATAAATCACATAAGGTCAGCAGATTGGAATCGAATTTTCGGAAGTGTAGAAACTGCAAGTGTAGAAATGGAGGAATCTCGAAATCACGTGAAGGACGTGCGAGTCAGATCATTGCTAAGTGCAATGGAATCGCTATTCCTCGAGATGAATATCTAATGGCACGAACCTTGAAACAATCCTTTCCGTGTTACAAATTCAACCGAAAATTAATATCTGCAAACAGGGAACATCGCGACTTGACTAATTAGAAGAACTAATTAAACGTTGCTCAACGGTAACAGTTTAGAATAAATGTTTGCAATCAACTTCCTTTATTGCAATTCACAAGGATTTTTATTATCTGCAGCTTTGTTCGTTTTACCTTTAATTTTACTGTTATTAATTTTCGAAGTTTCATTTAAAGTTCGCACGTAATTTGGAGTATTAATGAGAAATAAACACTGTAAATTACAATATACAATTTCCTTGTGTATTTTTAATTGTTTATACTGATAATATAATATGTTTAACTAAGTAATGCGTGTATCGGATGCGTTGCAAATATAATTTCGTACTCTTATTGTATATTTCGAATAATAAAGATTGTTATTATAATTTATAGTAACAATTTCTAAATATTTTGAATAATGTAAATAAAATAATAAATGTTAAAGTCTCTAATTTACAATTCAAAACTTATTACTTTATTGTATATCCTAATAAAAAAAAACAGTAGAATGAGATACACTATAAAATTTGTTCACACGTCTCTGATAAAAATACTATTTATATTTCGTACCTCGTTATACCATTCTCGGAATAGCGTTGTGTTCCTACATGTTTTGATTGTATCAACAATGTAAGGTAGTAATTTTTGTTATTGTCTTAATTTCCCTACATGCACTAGCAAAAAATATATATAATATTTGTGGTTTAAAAAAAATCTGTTACCGCATGAAACGGTTTTAGCTATGGTCAGAGTGTTGTTGAAATTGTATACGTCAAAGTCCTCAACATTTTCAGTAGCTGTGAGTCAATCCTGTTTGCTTTTTTTCTCATTCCTTTGAAAGTGAGTCACTACGCCAAGTCAAAAACGGATTCTACTTTAATAACAATAAAACCGATACAGTATAAATACATTTGTAAATGAATTGTATCAAAAACGTACTAATGGCCTGATAATCAATGCAATCAAGGTTTTTTTTCTCGTATATGCGGCTTTAATTGAAACACGGTTTTCCTTCAAGCAAATGCCACCGCATTTAACGATTTATTTAAATATGGGCTTCGATCTTCTGAGAAAAAGTAAATGCAACATCAACAAAGAGCGAGCATCCAGAAATTCCGTTCGGGACGCAGACTGTGCAAATATATTTTTTTTTGCCATCGTAACCTTAACCTTTCTCCGGATGCAAGCAACAACAAACGCGATATACTTTTGGCATTAATTATGCATGTCGTAATTAAATATGCATAATAGATACATTATGGAATCGTAAACATTAGATCCGGCGGAAAAAAGAAGTATGAGATTACATCTATTAATGGTAAATTATTGATTTACTAAAATGCAGACATTGAAGGACAACATTTAATTTATTTGTTTATTTATTGCAGAATTTCGATATTTTTCCGATCGAAATAGTTTTGATATATAACCAAATATTCCAGTTTTTAACAAACTATATAATAAATTAGAAATATAAACAGTATATCATAATTTCTTAATTAATACTTGTTTATGTAACGTACAATTCGTAAATTAGAAGATAGAATATAGTGATAATAATAGTTCATTCAGGGCCAATAATGTATGTGTAGAATAAATTATGTTTATTATTTTTAGTTCATTCATAAAAGTGGCCAAAAAATACAAATTTTTAATATTAACGTTTTATTGTTAATATTAATCCAGAATATAGTATTTTTCAATTGATACAGTTTAATGGGAAAGTGCATTCAGGAAATACGAAAATACAGTAATTCATTCATACAAAAAAAATGATGCGATGACTGTCATTAGTGATGTTCTCGGGGAGAAACAAAAGAATTAATGAATATTGAAGGAAGTGCAATCAATGTGCCATGTTACAATGGAAATTCCATAGCGCTTCCAGCATTCATTAATACTTGGCCAGGTGATGCTAATAAATACCTTTTATTTATATGGAATCTATTTATAGATGCAAACCATTAAACGGTACAGATATTGTTGTGTGCGTAGAAAGGAGACACGATGGAAAGCGTTGCAAAAAAACAATAACAATGCATTTGAAGCGGAAATAAAGTTTTCTGATTTATTAGGAAAAACTGAACAGAATTTCCAATATCCTATGGAAAAATAATATTTCCAAGTAATAAAATATTTAAATCAATGAATAATTCATATATTTAGATGAGGAATTCGATATACTTTATTAAGAATATATCAAAATAGACAATTTACTTATTTTAAATTATCTATTTTATATTTCAATACATGTAATTACAAACTGAATAATTTTTCACTTTTCATAAATTATATTATTAGTATTAGAAACGATTTGAAAGTTTTTCAAATTTAAAATAATACTTGAGAAACTTTTGAGATATGTATTGACCAATTTAATTTATCTCTGTCATACACATGTTGCACAGTACAATAAAATTAAAAGCGAAAGTACAATCTACATTCATAGTATTACTTTTAATTGTTTTGTTTAATAGTGCCAAGAACAAAAAAAATATGCATAACATAGCAAAGCGTAACTATGCAGTTATTACAAATTAAAGAAAAAACGTTACAGAATCTAAATTAAAATCGAAACAGGAAGGTCGACTTATAATTGTTCTCCTTTATTTTAATATCACTTGTTTATGATAGACTGACATATAAATAAGTAATTAAAAAGTTTTTTTTATATATTGCAATTACTTTTTATAAAATTCAATAAATTCAGTGAATATTTCCTTGCAAAAGAAACCTTCATTTCCATTTTTTCATTATAAAACTAAATTTAATATATTTTTATTTGTCACAATTGTGACCAAAGGACTATTGAGGTATTTGGTTATTAAAACCCTTAAGTCACTACCTGATTCGAACAACATAAATCTGTATAAATGGTTTAATCGTGGTAAGCAAGGTTTTAAATATTGCAAGAGTTGAACTTATAAAGAAAATGGTGAAAAACAAAATGAATTGTGCAAACGTTGCAGTTCATCTGTTTTGCAACCATAAAAGTGCATCCACCGAAGCAACATTCAAGAACAATTCATATCGGCGTGCAAAACTTTTGAAGTAACCTCTGCAGAGTTAATATTGTATTACAATATAAATAATTATTATTAAAACAGACAAGTACATTATCAGTTAACTTTTTTTTAATATAAAAACGCATTTTTTTGTATTTTTAAATTATGCATATTTTATACAAAGTAATAATAATTTTAATATAGTTAAACTATCTGCGAGATCCCACATATATGAGATGATCATTCATAATGACTAAGACACAAGATGTTTGGATGAATCAATACTAAACAAAAACAGATTGCTTTTAAAAATGCAAACTTATTATACACATGAACGTTTCATCACTAGTAAATAATGTGTTGTATTTAATTTGACTCGTAGAATAATGATTATGTTTTGATTTCATCTGGAAATATCACGATGAGTAACGTAACATATTTGATATATATAAAAAACAAAATCCAATTTTCTATAAAAAGTTGAAAATAAATAAAAAATAAACTCAAATATGAAGAATCTTTACTTATTATGTTTTATTATAGAATGTTTATATTTTCATATTATTTTTTCTATACATCAAATTTATGTCATATCTGTTAAAATTTTATTTTAAACATCTTTTATAATTTCGTATATGAATTTGAATTAAATTGATTAGATTATACTAAATAAATGATACAAATCTCTTGAAATTCGATTCTGCCTACTGTTTTGTCCGCCTTTATAACGATTATTAGTTAAATTTCGTATATAATACGCACCCAAAACTTAAAAAAAATGACAAAGTATCAACTATTGTAACCGCGGTATATGCGCTTTAATACTGAAAATCAAGTATAATACACATTCCCGTTTTTTGCGAACTAAAATGCGTATTATACTTAAAATATTACGGTATTTTCACATCGAAAAGAAATAGAACACTATAGCAAATTGCATATATACTTTATATATAATTAACCTTTCTTCGCATAATAATAACTTCATAATTACTATTTATATTGTCTTTATATTGAAATTGATGTAATTTTTCAACATTATATATTTAAAAATAGATAATTTTCGCAAACATAAAATTAAATATCTATTAACGTATATATACAAAAGGTTAATCACTTATAACGCAAAGGTGATTCAGCGTGAAAAGTATATTATTTAATTTTTTACCAAAACAAATTACCAAATTTTTATTGTATTAAATAATGTCAATACTTTCTATATATAATGACTAACGAGAAATTGTATATATCGCATAAAAAATCTCTAGAATCCTATAGTGCGGATTATATCAGTCCGGATTCACTATGATCTGGTTTGAAAACAAACTAAATTTTACATAAATTATCGTTTTTTCTTCCTTTATGCATTCTAGTCTCTTTTTGTGCTGTTTTAAAGTTATTGGAAGACTTTCAATAACCATGATATTAGCAGAAATAATTTTATTTTACTTAAGATCTACTTAAGATGTTAAAGTTGTGAATCACGATTCACGGTATTAAGACAAGGACGAAATATACCCTTCGAAAGATCGGTAAACTCCAAAATTAGATGGAATTACAATTAAAAAATTCGATGATTAATATTTTCAAAGAATCGATATTGAAGACATTGTTAAGTTTGTTTAATTGCATAAAATTTATATAAAATAAACTAATTGTATTATTCACTTCAATTGAATCCTACATATTCGTACTGAGAGTACAGCTTTTGGCAAAGGAAATTGGAAAAACACAGTAAACGGAACAGAAATAAAACGTGCGTGCATAATGAATGAATGAAGTGTTTGGTGCGTGTGCTTGGCGGAATTTACAGTCTCCGACGCGCGATTTGCACCTGCCGTAACCATGAAAAAGAATAACGTGTGTGTGTGTGGCGCGAAGCATGCCGTGGAAGAAGTTGCGTTCACCGACGTTCTGTGTTATTTAAGTAACATGCCGACAAGATGCTGAGCCAGTATCCGCGCAGAATTCGTTAGGGAGAGTTGTGTTTGGTCGGTGATATTTTGGATAACACGATAGTTATATGCAGTTTCCAGCATAATAATGGAAGGCAAAATTTTCGTGCAAAATAACGTGAGTCAAATTGGCATCATACTTATTTTTTTCTCTCATTTACAAACCTTTTCCTATATTTGTAAATTATTGCACATTTTTACATACATTTATGATATATATTTTGTTGACTTATGTTATAGATTTTTTTGGGAAAAAAGTTAATTTATATTAAAACATAGAAGACATTTTTCGAAGAATAATATTTTAAAATTTAAAACATTATTAATAAGTAAATAACATCCATAGAGTTAATTTATACTAAATAATTAACTTCATTTAAAAAATACTTTTGACAATAAAATATCCTTAGTTCATTTTTAACAATTTTAAAAAATATTGCAATCTCGATCTATATAACTTCTTACATATATTTCTTTATTTATGTTGTAGATATTGGTCACATAATTTATCTTACATTTATATTTTATATCGGTAAATTATTTATTCTTAATTGATAATACTGTTTTCACTTACAAACGTTCCATAATAAATTGATCATTATTTATTTACTTATGTTATAGATCGTGTACAGATAGAGTTAATTTATTATAAAACATTTATTTAATTAAAGGACATGTACCTGCTTTGCCTTTGAAGACCTGAAATACCTGTTTTTCATTTTGAATATCATTTTTATAGTTATTAAAGATAAATTAATCATAAATTTTGATTGAACTGCCAGATATTTCATTTCCTGTACAATTTTTAATTTAATACACGTCATTGAAATACCCTTATATATTTAATTAAAAATTAATACTTGAAAGGTATTCATTAATAATAAAACCTTCCAGATTTATTTAAAAAAATATATGAATTGGAAAGGTCCAAACGCATATTCATATCAAAACATTTTAAACAAAATCGAAAAATCCATACATTCAAATAATGAAGGATATTTCAAAGATCAACTGGTTTTTAATAATTTTTGCTTCCTGGTAAATCGCTTTAATGTGACGTTTGCAAAAAAAAAAAATCGTGAATCAAAATACAATAGAATCTCGGCAATAGCCACTAAAGCAAACATTGCACACGTACTTTCAATTATTCAAGATTATTTACTTAATGGTTTGTTCATTGGTGAGGCGGTCTAGAAAATTCGATAAAAGGCGAAATATTCTACAACGAGAGTTACGTGATAGACAGTAAGCCGATTGGGAAATGCAGCAATTTGGTTGTCCCTTATATAACACCTGTAATAATGCTGGTTACAAAACTCGAATTTTACGCATTCGTTGAATATTCCAAGCGTTTCCAAAGAAAATTGACGAAATTTGATTTATTTAATCTATATTTAACTCAGTGCTTTCACGAATGTATGAATCATTACTTTGCAGAAGAAGAATAAAATAATGTTATGATTTCTTAATTTGAATTTTATATTAAAAATAGCCAAAAAGTTTACAATACAATAAAATAATAAACAAAATGTTTGTTTTTGTCATTGGCGTAAAAAAAAATAATGATTAAATTGCAACTAGGATCTACATTCCAAAATAAACTTTTTAAAATCCGCTTTTTTGTATTCTGGCAAAGCGTGAACGGCATTGCTAAGTCAATAAACAAATCCGAGATTAGGAATTTAAACAATCTTGTGTAATAAAAATTGACTCCGGACTGGCGGTGAGTATCATCGAAATCGGTTAATGAAATTCTGGGGGATTCCATTCAATCGTTGCATAACGATCATCGTAGAGCTGGTCCACGCACGTACACACACTCACTTCTCGAGTCACAAAAGAAAACGCACACTTCTTATATAATTTCCAAATTCCGACGATAGTAATGAGCGTGTTAATGAACTTGCGCAAAACCATCTAAGACAATAAACGTTTTCAAAATATTAACGTGAAAAAAAATACACGCATAAGACTTTCTACTGTTTCCCAACGATATAATAAAATATAAATTGTTGCCATTAAATTCGTTTGTATAATTTCTACAAAATTCTTTTAAAAAAGTAAAGAATTTTACGTATTATTTACTATATAATTCATTAATATAAGGAAGTAGAGACAATAACGCGACTAAAGTTTTTAATAAGTAGTATTGACTATTTAATATATCTTTAATTATTATTCATAGTTATACAAAGTGTCAGCTGACTAGGAAGTCAGTAAAACGAAAATATTTTAACATAGAACAACGATCTCTTTGTTTCCAATTGTAATTCAACAGTTGTTTGGAATTAATGAATTTCCATAATAAATCATCACCTATTTGAATCCATCGAATATTAGACTTTACTAAATTGTAAACATTAATGGACACGACAGAATAATTTCGCTTTCAATGGTCAGTTAGGAAGAAAGCAAAATCCAATACGAATTATATAAATAATAACCAGAATAAAATTCAATATTACAGTTACTTCGATTAACATATTTGCCTACGGCAAATGTTTTCAAACAGGATATCAGAACACAATTATGTAATTAGGGTTTTAAACATGAAATCATATTACTTTTTTTAAAAGCCACTTATTACACATAAAATGTAAGTATACATTACGAATTACGAGGGTTGTTATTTACTGGTATTAATCATGTAATATTTAAATAATTCATAGTTGCAATAAATCACATTTGCATGAGCAAGAAAACCGCGCTTTAATGAAGTTATTACAGAAAATGTAGAATTATCTGATATTACTTGGACTGTGACATATCGACATCAATTTATTAACACTCGCGATAAAGCGGTGTACCAAAGGATTCATGAGTGTTTTACATGAAACAAAAAAAATGTGCTCGTTGTCCTTTAAAACTTATCGAGAGTACTTAATCAAATCCATCCATATTTGGGTACAGCTCACATGCATAAGACAATACCGAAATGATATAGTGTCATATTTCACGGATGCACGAAAACATGTTGCGTAGAATATACAAAAAAAAAAGAGTAGAGATAACCTTTTACCCATTTCATTCGAAGTGGACTAATTGCAATGCAAATCTTTGCATATTTTTACCGTGTTTGGAAGCAGGTACATGGAATGATGGCAAGTCCTCTAGGTTAACCGGAGTCGTTAAATTTAATGTGACTCCTAACACCTGCTAATTACAAAAATGTATTTACAAGCAAAGGAAAATGTTTTATTTATTTATGAAAATCTTGCACGTACTAAGGCTATTGGAATAGAATATTGTTGATACTGGTTAAATGTATCCTTAATGATCATCATTAAACGATGTCTACGTAAACATGGTCTTGTATTTAGTTTGCAAGTCAAAATAAGTAATTGTAATCTAGATAGAGGGATAGAATCATTTCGTTTTTATTTTATCTACATTAAGTTGTCGTAGACCTTGCTCCTGATATCTAAATGTGGATCATGTCTGCATTTGGGATACGGAATAATCACAAAAATCTGACCTAGCGTTAACCGTTTGGACACTTAACATAAAGCATCTACATAATAATTGAAGGATTTATTTTAAAATTCCAAAGCAAAGATCAAGTACTATGACTGAAATGGAATTCTAATATCAATCCATTTCGAGTATTAAGTAATACAACAAAGTACAGTTATAATTCTTATAAACACAGCTAACAAATTCATGGTCAAATTCCGATTTGAACTTACATGATTTTTATCCTTTAAATCCCAAATATTTACATTATGAATCATATTGTTTACTGTTTTATATCAATAGAGATCCAAAAAAATAAACATGACATTGCTTAAATAAAATATATAAAAATACAAACTTTTTTTTCTTGAATTATTGAACTACACAAATATAATTTCATGAAATAAACCATATTTTTTCTATAATAATAATGTCTGTTAGAAAACTCCTAACAAAAACGGAAAACATAATAATTACCTTACTATCAGAATTCAATCTGTTTCGTGTAAATGTTGCACAGGAACAAGAAAAAAAAAGTGGTTTATTTACGCAAGCATGAATTATTTAAAATTATAATGATTTTACTTAAACAGCGTGTAAGAAACTCAGATAATACAACATAATTTTCGAATGAAAAAGAAAAATAGAATTGCATGTAATTTAATAACGGAGTCAAGGCATTTCGTTACTGCAGGAAAAACATGATTAATTGTGCTTGGAAACTGACCATCCACAAATCCGTAAAATAGAATGGTAATAGAAACAAAGTAGAATCATGTAAAGATTTCACAATTTCATATTAACTATTATAATTTTAAACATATACACGAAAAAAATATACATTAGCAGTTTACTTGTTGGGGCATAGTTGTTAAGCATCAATTTCTTATATAACCATACGTAAACATATACTTGTTAGTATTAAGAAATAATGATGGCTGTTAGATTATGATAATTGTTTTATTTATATACATTTTCTCATCAACTTTTCCCCTTTCAAAGTGTTACTTATAATTGTCTATTTCAATGTAAGCATCTTAAATGCATATGTTTAATTTCGTACTGCGTGTTGTAGTTGCAAAACTTTAAATGTTAATTTTCTCTTATTTTATTGAAAATTTCATAAGTTTTGTGATCGCTTCGTAAAATAAAGTTCATTACAGATCGGTACAAAAATGTATTCCAAAATGAATAACAACATTATTTTTATAATTATAAACACATATTTGCACTAAATTAAATTATGTACAAGTTAATTATGAATCTTACGTAAATATTATCTTCTTTGTTTTTGCCATTTAACGATTGAGTAGACTTCAACAGTAAATATATTATAAATGTATATATTGAAATTAAGTTAACATATTTACAAACATAAATTGATTATTTGCGTGTATAGTTATAGTTTAATAGTAAGTTTGAATTTAAATACCAAACAGCCAATTAAAATTATTTATTTAACGTCGCAATTTGAAATAAATCGTTGATATTAGCATAAACCAATCAGGCAACTTGAATAATAATGTATCCAAAAAAAAAAAACGTTTACAGAAAAAAAGTATAACCAGGATTTGCTTCTAAATATAAATATAAACACAACAAACACAATAAAAAAAATCATCAACGAAATAAATTTAAAATTCAGCCGGATTCGGTGGCCAGTTTTACGTGGCGCGAGAAATTTTAATTAGTAAAATCTAATATGGTCAAGGTGGTGACCAATCCAGATGGATAGTTCTGAATAAAGCTGCATAAATATTTATAAAGGCTGCAATTAACCTAGTTGAGCTAATTAAAAACGAAAAATAAAGTAAATAAGTGAAGCATACATCAACAATGATGCAAAAAGGAAGAAGACAAATAAAAGAAAAAGGGGAACAGAGTTGTAGAGGTGAATTAAGCGGCAACAACAGTGATTGAGGATTGCACAAATGGCATTGCTTTTGATGAATGCGCTGCAGATTTTCTTGTACCGTCATATAAAATGGCCAACATTAATTGCAACTACGGAATACTTAATATCAAATCTAAATATCATTTTTCACTGCACGTCACCGCCGTTGCTCAATCTCGATGTAAAAAGCATATTGCAATATTCCTTTGTCTCCTAATTAATAATGCAATTAATGGTGTTTGCAGTTCGAAACTCGTAATTAACTTTCGTTAACTAAGAATATTGCACAAAACGCGTATATTTTATTGAATTATTTATAAGACCGTTTATATTTTTTTGTGAAACAGGTTGGAATAATTTGGATGAAAATCATAATTTTAAATTTCTCTTCGTTAGATAATAAATAATAATTTGATGCGGTCGAAAAAATTACCGAATGGAATCCGTGTGCAAGGACGTTCTTTATCGATTTTTTTTTAGTCTCTTCGTTTCATTGCCAAAAAATACATTTAAAGGCCTCGGCTTGCTGCATATGGCCATCGCGAGTTTGTTCTGTTCTGTTGTTCACGTTGAACAATGTGAACGTTTTTATATTTCGTTCTTTTAGATCGACATTCCATTGACCAAAAATTCTGGCACGTGTTTAAGTACATAAACAAATGATATTACATATTTGAAACAATAAAAAGCAGCATTACTAAAAACGGTAAATTAAATTGTTTTACCTGCAAACTGATATTTCAATTCAATTCAACATATTGGAAGTCAAAATAATTGATATAATCCTGAGAGGTTTAACATATTAATAAATATATATGAAACGTTATGTGATTAATACCTTTTGCCTTCGATTTTATAGCACAATATAGTATAGTTTATCGATTTGTCATTTCGTAAATAAATTAAAATTAAGATATTTGATATTTAGTGGCGAGAAACGAAATGAGATATGCGAGAAAACTCTGTATATATATGACAAATGTATAAGATTCATTTGTTTCAAGCAAATTACTAACAGTAATTTATTATCTACACAAATATACTTAAACTAAGTCTGCAATTAACACTTATAGCATAATATAACCGTTAAAATATATAATTCGATTATAATCAACGTTTTTTTGCTAAACAAAATATACAAACATTTCCTAAGGATATAGCAATTATATTATTTTATAATGCCTCATTTTCATTTATAATTGCAATAGGATATATAAAAAAAGCAAATGATTCATGTGAAAGTGTTGATTTATATAAATTGCACAATTTTTCGAGCACGTGTACTCGACTAAGCTCGAAGTTGCTCCCTTTTCTTTCTCTATTTACAAACGAAATCATTGCAACTACGCCCATTTATGATTTAAATATCGAAGCCAGTTATGCGGATGTAGAAACGTATTATTAACTAACCTCTTCATTACGCCGATGTTAATTATAATTCTTCGGCTCCGTAAACGGCGGTGGGCGCGAAGAAAGGAACAAAAAAAGGTAATAGCCTAACCATCGCCAACAATGATGTACGCCGACTCTCGAAGTGCCGTAAAATTGAGGCGATGATTCGTGCTCGTGCATCTTTCAGCTAATTAAATCATACATAGTGCACATAAATTTGCCAATTTCAAAACGCGCTCCATCCAGTAGTTAGGAAATAATAAATGGATTGATCGAAGGAGAAGAAAAAGAAGTGCAAACAGCATTTTAAATGTCGCAATCACTTTCCACCGTTGCGATTTACAATTTCTGGCCGCAGTTTACGAGGCGTCGGATTAATTGAAAATCCTTTCTAGTTTCTCGTTTAAAAATTGAGCAATGATCTCACATTATTTTGTATCCAAAAGGTGTGCTGAAAATCCTCGAAGCACATAGATAGTATACTACTGTATTTAAATTGAGAGCTATTTCTCACTCATAATTTTAATTGTTGTAGTAACCTTTCATGCGACACAACAAATTATTGTGTTGGTTTGCCACGAGCGGTCGGCAGTTCTCATGTGAATCTGAAATTTCGTTCTGCAAAGGACAAAGATATTTCGATATTACTAATTAGTACATGGAAAAATAAAGAATGCGTGCGACCGTGGGGCAACGTCACTTTTTTACGTGGAAAAATCATTCTTTCGAGATATTTTATGGAACTTGCATTGAACCAAATTTATTTATAAATAACAAATTTCAGATAATCTTACATATTCATATTTCATTTACTTTGTTGTCTTTGTTTCACTAAACTATCATTTATTACAAACATTTGAAACATGTTATTATGTAATTATTTGTTTTAATCCAATACTAAGTGAAATATTAGTATTGGATTAAAATCGTATCATAAATCGTTGTTTTATTAATTGACGTTAAAATATCTCCAGTATAGAAGATATACATATAAAAATATAGACCTAAAATAAGAAATATGATTATTATTTTTTGTATAATATATAATATCATATTATTTTAATATCTTAGACCTTTATGAAATAAAACATTCATTAAAAGTAATGAATCCCGAAAATTTTGAATAACCTTTGTAAATTTATTACAAAAAAAATATATATCAAAGAAATATACAAGGTTCTTGTTCTTAATTGCACATATACTTCGAAAATTTATGATATATGGCCAAGTAATGGTTTATTTCAATAAATACGGTAGCCAATTGGATAGGTGTTTTTAATAAGCATTAATGTGAGACATCCTGTCTGTCCGACCTTATCTGATCCATAAAACCAATCGTCCGCAACCAGAAAAATAATAATAATGAGCAATTAATTACGAAAAAAATAATAATAATTTCAACGTGGTAGGAAAAGAGCTCACCTGTTTTTAATTTACGATCCTGGCATTTCCCTTCCTAAGTTAACCACAAATTACGTTTCAATAAAATGTTTCATAGATAAAAGGCTAATAACAATCCGTACCGTAGGTAGAAGCAAATAATAAAATTGAATTTTAACGAGATGTTACGAAAGCGTCTGGAAAAAAATAGGTTATGAAACGAAGAAATAAAAAAAATATGTAATGGGCATAAAAATTAAAGGACACCGCAGCTTTAATTATTTTTATTTTTCGTTATAGGCTCCGGTCGAAATTGCTTTTTAATAATAAGGATTGCATAAGTAAACAATTCTTATATATACTTATTAGATCATCAAGTGGAAACCTTCGGTTGCGATGCAAGGAGTGCAGGAACAACAACAAAAATAATTCCATTTTGTGCTTAGTTTTTGTTGTTGTTGTTAATTATAGGAGACTAACAAAGTGACCTCAGGAGCGGAGGCGCGGTTTCGCTAAAGTTTTATTTCCTGTTATTAATGACTAAAATTAGAGCGTTTTAGCATTTGAAAGCGATAAATGCTGGCAGATCAATCAATACAGAACGTAATAAGGATAGCAGGGATTGAATAACACGTGTGAGATTTTTATTTCAGTCGGATTGAGAGACCTTGGATGGTTTTGCAGAAGAAGTAAAAGCGTGGGACACGGTCATGCGAGATGTGTTCGCATGTCCAGACGGTGCTTGGTGATAAGAGAAAAATCATGATGGTTGGGTTGCATTTCGCAACCAGAAACAAACAAAAAATAGGTGCTGCGTGGGTGTCGGGACCTGCACCCACAACTTAACGCACTCCAATTATTTATTATTCATCTCTGAAAAAAAAGAAATAACAAAGGATGGCGATGGGGTTCTTACATTCTTCCATGATCCGCCTCCGCCTAGGAGTGGCGGTCAAATTAAAATGCATTCACTACAAATTTTCAGATTTATGCTCATTGAAGTAATTGATTCATTATTGATTGCATGCAGTATATTGCCTCTCTCAGATTAATAAAGCTATTATCCAATTCATTTCGTATTAATCGAATGCAATCACTTTTTCTTTTCCAGACCACAGCAGATCTCATGCAGAGTTGGCATATACCGAGACCAACACTAGCTCGCAGCTCAAATAGTTCACAAGGATCGACTTCAGGAAGTACAAATAGCACACAGGTAAAAAATAGCAATTAGCATACATTTTGGAACAAGAAATGCCATTATTAACGTTGTAAATTTTATCTTGCGGTAATAAACTTAATTTGGTAAGGCGTGGTTCGCGCGAAAATGTCGTTATGCAAAGTAATCAAAATTAATTCAATTTAGATTCTAACGATTAACGAGTAAATGAGTTAGATAATATGTGCACACACGAAACTGGTTCAATTAATTTAACTGAATAATTAAAAATTAAATTTTAGCAGATGCAAATCATATCCTCAAAATCAACAATTTACATATTTAGTTTATAAATAGAACAAAGTTTCTTGAACTTATTTGTTTCAAATTTTTATTTAATAATGATCTATTAATTATTAGATATTCAATATTTACATATTCATTAATAATTACTTACAATATTAATCTTTGAAATTTTTATTCTAAAATTAAAATATGTTCCTTATTATATTTATAATTAATTCCTTGGATTTGAATCGCATCATCATCATGTAAAATGTTCCATTAGATGTGTAAAAGACAAATAAATACATTAATTCGAAACAACTTTCAAAGCCCTGGCGCCAATTCCGATGCGAGTGCAAGGAAACTTACTGATTTTCGACTAAAAAAATATTTACATAATCAGCATTCCTATGCAATACGATGGAGTTTCCTGTTGTTTGTTGTTGTCTATTACTTTTTCGGACATTCTATTTTCGGTACACGGAATCTCCTCAGTGTGACATTGGCCCATGAAACTGACCTTTCCAATAACATTTATTTCAATAATATATGAAACATAAAGCAAAGTGATTTGCAAAAAAAAAATAAAACGAATTCATCCATACAAAACGATCATATCCGAAAATGTATAAAGCAATTACGGCGAAGAATGGTGCAATTATTCGGATTACCAAGCCATTATAAATTTAATTATATGAAACAATTACTGAAGCAATTCTGTGGTAAAACGTGTTAAGCCATAAACATTTCGCACAGTTTTGCTGAGACGCAAATATTTTTTTTACCTAATACTGTATATCTGATTATTTTTCAATTTCAGAGTGCCAGGTCTGGTTCGCTTCTGTTAACAGCGGCTAATTTGGCGCAAATCCATAAAGACTCCACCAAGGAATTGACCACGAGAGATGACAACATTAAATACTTCTTGGAATCCTCCAACAGTAACCCACTCTCGATTCCGATTACCGAAAAGAAAACGAGTGATCCGGACTCTGTGTCTATTGCCAGTTCTATGCATTTCACGGTAGTCAACGTACACACGAGACCGACAGTGAAGAAACGCAGCTTCTGCAAGAAACACCAGTTGACCATTCTGGTTGTTTCAATGAGCGCAATCTTCACCTTTGCTATAATCATGGCTATTTTTGCGTTAGAAAGTAAGTATAAATAATTAGAAAAATAAATAAATGTATTAACACACACATATTTCTTATTCTTTTTCAGTGAGAGCAAGGAGACAACCACCCCATTGAATATACAAGTCGCCAGTTTTCGTTCCAGTTTATATTTGTACATCCTTAGCTAGATGAATTTATTTAATTACCTTATTTAAGCACCAAAATTTATTTATTTATTCGTCGATAAAAGAAATTGCAAGTTTCGAAGCAATTTAGTTTTATTAAAAGTAGGGCGTAGGACCGTCTATTTAATTTGCATAAGTTCAACTAACTCTTTGTGAATATTTTAAAATTATATACTGTGATATTTTTTAACTAAAAACGAAGTAAATATTATTATTATAATGCATTATGTAATCTTTTTATAAGACACGCTATGTACAGTTTTTACTTTATATATTTGTAAAATTTGCATACTTTGTGACATTTATTTATATTCAATAAAATCTTAAAATGTGCTGCTATACTATTAATTTCTAAAACAATACCTTTTTTAAATCTTTATCATAATTACTTTAATTATGGATACTCATTAGTCTTGTTGAGTATATTAAAGAACAAGGAAGGATCGAATTATTGGAACTTAGAGAAATGTCAACTAGTTTTCGTTGTAGAATTAAGAGTCGGCACGACTTTAAATAAACTGATCGATCCAACAGACTTATGACTATACCAACGTGATGGAATCTACAGTAGCATTCCAAATACTACGAGATCAAGGAGATTAAATTGTGGCGTGCAACTTTCAGAAGGTTACTGTATTCTTGAAACGATTGAATAATAGTCGTGAAAATTATATGTTCAAACAATTCACAATTAAGTAAAAAATATATTTTTTAAATATCCTGGACTAATCGAAGAACTTAATACATACAAAAATAAACCGCACAAAAAGACTAAAACGTAAAAATCGATGATTTATAAATATTTTCAAACCGTACTGTGCGATGAATTTTTGTATATTTACATAGAAAAGTTTCTTGTTTTGATTATTTCTCGTCTTATACCCCTTCTTTCAGGTTTATCGGCACAAATTTTTATTGTTTTTTTTTAGGATCGAACCAACTTTTCCGCATGTGAGTTTCGTGATATAGGCGACTACACGGCTCATAGTGTTAATTACTATATCATCGATTGTATATAGGCAACTGAATTTACATAAATTCATGACTTCTAAGATTTTTCAACGGTAAAATAAATATGCCTTGAATACATTTAAGGAATCAAGTAAAAAAATATATAGAATAATCAATATTTGTTTTCTGTAACCTAGCAACCACAATATTGACCAAACATAGAAATATGTAATACATAAAACTCACCTCAACATCTTGTAAAGTCTGCGTCCACTTATATTTCTCCAAATCACATCCATTGCCAGAGTTTGGTTTCAATTTACCCTTTTCAGCATCGTCCTCATCATCATCAATCACTTCAGATTTAACAGGTTGAGGCACTTTCTCTTCCTTCCTACTATTTTTGTTATCCAACTCTTTCTGTAATGCTTCAGCCTCATCTTCTGTCAACTCCACAATCTTAGGTTTCTGCTCATTCTCTGACTGCATCTTAGCCTCTGCAGCTGCTTTTTTAGCCTTTTCTCTATCTTCCTTTTGTTTGAGGATTGCAGCATGCTCATCTCTTGATTTTTTTTCATATTTTCTAAATGTGGACATAACAAGCTAAAATATAAGTTATTTAATAGTTGATTAGAACTATATAATAGTAAATGATCGGTATTACCTTTTCCCATTGTCCTTCACTTCCTCCAGTGAAGAAATCAGTTTTGCGACTTAGGAAGTTAACAAAGGTATCAAGAAGCTACAAACATAAAACCATATTAAATTGAGGTTATCTAAAGAAATGTTGTTTGAATTACCTGTGAGGCACCTTGTGGATGGTGTTGAGCAATTGATAAAAAAAGGGTGTCAAATTGTTCAGTTTTGTCGCCGTCCATAATTATTTAATAAGAAAGAACTTTTTCAATAAAATGCTAAAGACCAACGTGCACCGGTTGTGAAGATAAACAAGTGTTGTCAAATATCGATTTGACAATTACTCGTTTTACATCCGGAACATACAGAAGTTACTCATCTAATTCCAGAAAATTCTATAATTTTCTAAATTACATCATTTAAAGTATTAAGTCCTCATCAAATTTTATGTACTAAGTATATATTTTATGATTATTTATCATTGCTGGTACTTATTTCAACTATGTTTAGTACAGTTGGTTGCCTACTTCAAATTTTATAATTTTAAACTACAACATTTTAAAAGCAATGTGATTAATTTAAATTCCGCTTGTATCACGAAAATCTGATACAAAAGGTCGTTGGTTCGATTCCCAAAAACCAACAAAAAATTGTGGGAATAAATCCGAAAGTGATAGAAATAGGGCTAAAGGAGATTTATATCAATTTATATAAATCTCTTTTCAATTAAAAAAATAAATTTATAGCTTAATGAATTATGTATTACATTACGAAATCAGATAAAGAATGCCTCTATGGATACATCTATGCTGAAAAATAAATAAATGTTCAATAAATAGAACCGGTAATTTGTCCGAATTGTAATATTTAAAAATAAATTAACAATTACTTATTTGATTTTGCTTCAACAGCAACTTGCAGAGATATATATAATAATAAACATATTTATATTCTATATAATTGATTGAAATTATTTATAACTATAATTATCATATAATCTACATATTAAGACTGATTTAACAAAAATTGATCAAATATTTTGTCTAATTAATAAATGTTGGGCAGATTTATCGTATGAAATTTTTAATTTTGTATGCTACTATTACATATTTTAGTAAATATAATTATCAACAAGTGTTGTAAATATATTTATATATTCTTTATCTATATACAGGTATATGTATTCTATTATTTCTGAGTATTATAACATTTATACTATATATAAATAATTTATAAGTCGTGAAACTTGTTATCTATACAAGATAAATAAAAATAAACTGTAAAATATTATTATTACGCTACCTACTATTTTTCCCAATTCATTTTATAATAAAAATAGTATAAGTCATATATTATATTAGTATTATCATACAAATACAACCTATTCTCTTTTAACAATTTTCAATCGAATTCCATTATCAGACTTTAAAACAATGTCTGGTATTAAAACGGGCTTAAAACCTGGGCACGGTAGAAATTTATAGTTTCTAACTAACTTTGAAATTACCACCTTCATCTCTAACATAGCAAACTTTTGCCCGATGCAGTTTCTTGGTCCTGCACTGAAAGGTATATATGCGTACTGAGGTCTTGTCATGCTGTTTTCTACAGTAAATCGTTCAGGGTCAAATTCCTCTGGATTCGGAAAATATCTGGAATTGCGATGTATTCCAAAAGAAAATATTGCAGCGGTTCCCCCTTTGGCCAACACATTACTATCTAAAATTTAGAAACTATGAAAAATATCTATTAAGACAGTAAATATAATTACTGTAATGATAATCATTTATTATTTTTCTTGCAAATGTAGGGACCGGTGGATATAACCTCATGGACTCCTTTATTACTTTTTCCAAGTAGTTCATACTTAACAAATTTTGAAGAGTTGTTTTATTGCTCGTTTTACCATATATGCATTGTTGTTCTTCATAAACCATTTCCTGAAAATGACACACAGTATAAACATAACAAATAATTTACGTTAAATATATTAAATACCTGGATATTTGGATATATTGAGAGACAATACAAGATAAAATAGAGACCTGATCCTGTGGTATCGTGACCCTCCAAATTAAATTATATAATTTGATAACATTACTTTCAATGGTGATACATACTTCGAACATGAAGGTGTCAACTTCATTTTTTATATCTTCGAGATCTAAGCCATTGTTAAGCAATGTGTCGAGAAAGGCTGTTTTCCTATCGGGGACTGTATCAACAGTATTATCGAGAAGTTCTTTGCGTTTACGAATAACGTTCATCGTTGTTGAATGAAGGATATCCAAAGATTCTTTCTCTAATTTGTAATCCTTTGAGAATTGATAAAATATCTGGAATTGCTTAACAGGCGATAATGTCCTTCTCATAAATATCTCTCTCATATTGTGTACGGCTTTAACATAAGGCGACGAAGAATCGTTTTGTATATTCATGGAGGTACCCATAGCAGTTTCTATAAGCAAAGGTAATAGAATAATTCCAACTATTTCAAAATATATACTACTTACCGCAAATTATATCCAGTGTGCAAAGTAAGATATGCTGTGAAATATCGAAGTCCCCTTTGCCGCAAAAAGCGCTCAGTTTTTCAACCAATATATCGGACTTTGTGGCAAATGTAGGTATGAAATTTTCCAATATTTGAAAGTGGAATGTGGGTGTAATGATCTTTCGATGATTTTGCCATTTCTGGCCTAAAATATAAAAATGTATTATTTGTACGGATATTCTTATAAATATTTACAATAATCTTACCTGAGCTTGTCAATAAACCAGTACCTAGCCAACTATGCAGAAAGGAATAGAATTCAGATTTTTCGTTGAAATTGTTTGAGTTGACCACTTTTTTCACTAACTCTGCGTCGCAAATTTGTATAAATGTTTTGTTGCCAAATTTCAATTTATAATTATCTCCGTAGGTTCGCATGAACATTAAAAACTTTGGTAAAACCTCTAAACAATTATATATATTTAGATTTAATATTACTACATTAATACATATAACAATTTCAATAATTATTATCACATTAAAGGAATAATTATTTTTTATTAATTATTATATGTATTTAAAGTCATCTGTGCTCTTTTAATCATCAGAAATGTTAATGCATACCTTTTATGTTCGTCAGATGTAATATATTTCCCACAAATGGTAACGGTCTTGGTCCAGGGAGTTCTATTAACTGCTTTGTTTTGCGATCAATTATCCATAGTAGCAAAGCAATCACAGCAACAAGTACAGCATACCAGTTTAAATCCATCCTGAAACGTTACAATAACAATCAGTTCTTTATGTATTTTGCTTTTCATTATAATTTCTGAAATTATATTTTGGAGATGCTTGTATATATGTTTATTAGGGTAAATCATGGCTAGTTACAGTACAGAGGGATACACAAGATACAAAGTTTTCTGATATTTACATGATATTAAGATACAAGAAGATGAGAAGACAAGAGAAAAATAAGAGGCGACAAGAGAAAATAAGAGGCCGGTTACAGATATGTTGCAACTTTTATACCCTAACCAGTATATACCCTTATCAGACCTTCCCGGAATACCAGCTAAGGGCTGGATTGGCGCGCAGGTGACGTCATATAAGCGGGCTGGAGTGAGCACCACAGTACGCCTTGCTAGTAATTTGATCCGTGGAGCGAATGAAGCGTCGTCGAATTGAACTCCGGATGATGTCTAGCTTGTCGAAGGGTAAGGGTCACCATAACATAACTTTTATTGCAACAACTGAACAACATAACATACTAAGAAAATAAAAACAAATTGCTGCAAAAGGCTACCGACCATATGTCTTTCTGTCCTGTAATTACTGTTATTGAGATTAATTATTGTAAAACATAAATTTTAAAATATTTAGTATTTATAAAAAGCATATTATTACATATTATTTCATTTATTTATAACTATTTTATTTTATTGATAGATTTATTATAAAAAATGAAAATTTAAGAAACTTACTGTGTGAATATTACATTCAAAGCCTCCTATCAAAGAAGAACAACTGAGTATATGTTTAAACTTTATTTGATAAAATTTCAAACAACATTCATAAATAACTGGCTTTGAAAGTCCTTGAATATTAGAAATAAAATAAAAAAGGATGTTTATCACGCTTGTCACGCATGTCTCCGATTATAAAACACAAGAATCAAAATAACCATATATATGAAAAGCAAAATCATTAAACAGCGAGATCAAGTTCTAGTTTTTTTTTCGGCATGGAACGCTCGTATATAAATCCGGAATTTTTCTATCATGAATTTTAACTTTTATTGATAAAAACCTATATATATAACATTTCTATTACTATAGCAATTAAGCGTATATTCTAAGATGAAATGCTTGAAATGAATATCATAAATAATTTCTTAAGTAATTAATCTGAATCAAAATTACTCATTTTATAATCATCAGCGCCAATAAAAAATTCTTCTTTGTAATTTATGAATTTATCATCACTTTGATTCTCAAAAGACTGAGAATTTCTATAATCCTTGTTTCTATCACCAAAAATCTTCGATCTATCTTGCGAAGTTCCATTGTGCTTAAAGGAATAATCGGAAAACTTTTTAAATCCACCGCGTGTCCTACCCGTTAACGAATTTGTACTTCTCGTTTCCATACTTCCAATTTTCCTATTAGCAAATCCCGGCTCCAAGAACACTTCATCTTTAAACCCTAACAATCTTCTAGCAAACGAGACGTTCTTATTATCGAGAAGTCTTTTAGTTCGTTCATGACAAACTTCGTCGTTTATATTTCTTAAGAACCCGCAACACCAAAGTACCGCAAATACTAAAGAGAAAGTAACGAAAAATAGAGCTGAAATCATTAACGCCGCCAGAATATTCCAGGATGTCCCGTAAAGTATTTTCCTGTTTGTTTCGTGTTTGAATATCTGCGGGAAAATAGTCGATGCGAGGCCGCAAATTAAATGCAAAGCAATTACGTTACTGTAATCCTCAATTGCCGATACTTGAACGCATCGCGAGGCGAGTGTGTATAACGCTGCTCCAATTAATGCAATTAGTATGCTTATAACTGTAGAATAATACATAATTCCCGACGATGTAATGATTAATCCTGCTAAGGATGCCTGCACGCAGCTCAATATAGCCCAGTAATTAAATTGCTTGTTGCAAAATATCAGTTGAATAGTTATAGCAACGGCGGTGCATACTGCCATCGCCACAATCATATTTATCAGAACAACGCTCAGGGCGTGCTTCAAGTGAACAATTTTCGGTAACGACATTCCGAGTAAACCTAAAGCCATTAATATGTAACCCACTAAAGTTGCTCCACTGGATTCTGTGCCAACAGAACAATCATCAAGTCGGTTTAGTCGCAGCAAGCGTCTACCCAGAAACAATGATCCGAGCAGACCCACAATTCCCGATGTTGTATGTATCAAAACACCTCCCGCGTAATCAACGAACGTCACGTTCACATCAAAGAAATTCAGATTCCTTAACCATCCATCCTCGTGCCAAGTCCAGTGCATCACCAATGGTAGCATCAAACCGGAGTAGAAAATTTCAATCAATATATATGCTACAAAATGTAACCTTCCAGACACCTGCATTGTAATTACAGAGGAACCAATTAGAGCTGCACAAATACCTAAAAATATTTGTTATTGAAACATAAATATACTGTAGTTAATAATTAATTTCGTATTCATACCATAAATAGCTCGTTCGTAATTAACATCAACGGAATCGATCCATGAACCAAACGAGAAAAATCCGCAAAAATCTTGACGCCCGTAAGCCAAAGTGTATCCAAATAAAGCAAAAGAAATCACAGAAATCGAAAAGGTGACGACATTTTGAAAAATTATGTTGTAAACATTTTCAGTAGGAAATGTGCCTATTTGCACAAGCAACGAACCAGCTCTAAATAACATCACTACAACGAACAAAATATTCAGTTTACTAAGCAATATCTAATATATTATAGTTACCTAATATTAAACGAAGAGTGGGTATCAGCGAGTTGTATTCTTCAAGAACATTCATTGCTGATAAATTACCAATAGATGAAATATTCAAGGTCTTCATGGCTTTAGTAGAATTTGACATTTATAAAAGTTTTGTCTCCATGGTAATAAATAATTAAAAAACAAAGAGGATACAAATAAATAATAGCGGTAGGTCACTTTATAAACATGATTTTCTTAAACTGTGGTAATATACGAAATTGGGGATCTCCTCTCTTAAGCCTTATTTAATGGCGACTTTGGATCTCATTTAACGCTCCTGCTTTTGTTATCCAACCAAATCGTGTAGATCTCTTCCACATTGCAAACCCAATTGCAAATTCGGCAATAGATTAAAGTATTTAGTTCAAATGTAAATAAAACAAATAAAAATCCTTAAAACAAAATCTGTTTTACATGATTTATTATAATTTTATATATTTTTTATGTCGTATAATTTTATTGACAATCTGTTCATCAATATGAACATTGAGTAAATTTAAGATCGCGGTTGACATTCAATGGATAATCTATCCCGGTGGATAGTCTACCATTATGATGATTAGATTTATTTTAAATTTGTTGATTGGCTGTCGACTTGTAGGTTAACTTCAGTAGTATATTGATGCTATGCGATTCTACTATTTCCATCTGTGATGAACGATGGCCCTATTGCCATCGAGAGGGCTCAGAAAGGGCCTGTATTGACCAGGATTTGAACCGGCGCCGGTTCGATCGTGGATAGGGCGACTTAACCATTCGGCTATTAGTCGCCCCAAATTTTATATAATACTTATTTAAAAATATTATTATTAATTTAAGGTATTAATAAATGCACAATTTAAAATAAATCTTACCTGTATATTATCTTATTTGTACGTAGATAAACGAAACAAAATATTTAGCTATGCAGAAAATGTTTTATATTGGCAACAATTGTATATTTTCTTACAATTCTTTTTAGTTACAATGTATTGATTAAAATATGTACAAATGGTATTATACAAATGACCGGAACATTTAAAATTCGGAAAATGGAACTCATCAAAACTGAGAAGAACATGAAACAAAATTGCAAACTTATTCAACAACACTTCGGTTCCTTCCTCTCAGGAATAGAAAAACAGCCACAAAACAAAATACTTAACATTGTCATAGTAATTTAAAACACAATCTCATTTGGAAATTCTTATTTCCTACATAAGTACATAATAGGTTATTGTTTATATTTATTTAGAAGCAATTCAGTAAAGTTGGAAGATAGGAATTAAATATAATACACTTACACATCTGTTATACTCATATACTTTTTTGTTTATACAATAACCCTTCCTCCTTCTAGTCTACAACATTCTCGTGTGAAATATTAAAAAAATCGATTGGCACCATAATTATCGAGAGTGCAAAGATTTGTTTCCGTTTAAAAACCTATGTAACAATTAACAATCATACATCCTTACCCTTTATACAAAAAAAGATTTAGAAATTAGTCACTGCCATCGAGAAGGAGACTAGTACGAGCATAACATTTAAATTTAAATTAGAAAGAAATAAAACAATCCGTATTTACAGAAAAATGTCTAAAAACTTTTGCGATCGTTTAAGCATTAACAACAAGCCGTGCAAAATATGATTGTATCTAACTTCGTAATCCCTTTATAACCTGTTAGTAAAATCACAGAGAAATGTGCATTGTTAAATTCATGTTAATATTTAAATCCATAAACTTTTTTTTTTCATTTCTACAGATTAAAAAAAAGACAGGATTGTCCAGAAATTGACTAGCAGAAGGAAAACGTTTACCCAATTCTTTTCAAAGTAACAAAACCAAAGAGGTTAAATTGATTAAAGCCAATTCCAATTTTTATTTTCTCTTTATAAGAAAATAATGAAAATTTAAGAGCTATATGTTCACTACGACTTTTGTGCAAGAAGCCACACAAGCTTAGGACGGATTAGTGCTTTGAAAAAAACCTCTCCCGTAAAATAAAAATCGAAGAGAAAGAGTGAAAAATGTTTCGATTGCCTCTATTATTATACCTGTAAAGCGGTTCGATATATTTATATTTATAAATTTGCGTCCGTTCTTTTCGTTTACATTACGTTTTTTTATTCTTTTATAATATTATTATAACTAGATGATGAATTATACGTAATATTTATCCCTGAATTGAAAAATGTAACTCGATTAGAACTAGTAGAAGATTTTCTTAATTTATATTTAACATATAACAATATTATTTTTAACTTTTCTTGGGCCCTTTAGCTCAAATACTAATCAAAGCAAGGCAGCTTAACGTCCTCATATGTGGATATGATTTGAGATTTCGAAGGGAATCCGATTTGCTTCTTCTGCTTGTATATTCTTTATGTTTGTGTATTCTTTGTTTCAGTTAAATAAATAAAAATAAATAAATTAGTTAACACTTAGATCACTTTTTTGGCATCGTCAGTCGTTGTCGCGGGATTCGTCTTCTTAGGAGTGTGCATCTGCAGCGGTCCCCGCAACCTCTTCAAATCGTATTCCAGTCGGACGATCTGTTCTCTCAGCTGATTGTACTTTTGCAGATCTAAACCTTTCTTCTTTGCGGTCTTGTAGATAGCCAGCAGATGTTGCCTATCCTTGACGTCTTTCAGTACGTACTCCTGCAAGAAACAATTTTAGTAAAGCATGAAACGTGGTTTATAACATTATTTTTACTTGTTTCGTGATAACGAAGTATGCATATCCAGCCATTGCAGTTCCATAAGTCACAAAATAGGTGACGGGTTCCATGATGTCCCAGGAATATTCACACCAAGTGAGCCTCGCCAGGATCCCAAACTGCACGGACATCAATCCAAGCCCGATCCAGGACATCCAATCGGACTTTCGCTGTGCGATCATATCCAAATGCATCTTTTGCTAAACAATAAACAAAAGAGCGATAACAAAATTAATTAAATTCGTATCGTGACGATCACATTGATATATTGATATCAATTCCAGATATGAAATTAATTCGCAATCGATTTGCAGACCTGTTACAATAACATTCCTGTTACGTTGTGAAATTCAAAGCGGCGGAAATTAAATATTTGCATGATGCGATATCCCACACCCCTATTCTTATGATATGCATGTGAATGGAAAACGATAAAAAGGAAACTAGCAGTGTAATCGTGCAATTATTTATGATTAATTACGTCGAAAAAAATGCAATTGCATGAAATTATTTTTCAAAAATTATATTAATCAAGTATCGTGTATAATAAGAATGCGGTTTACTTTTAGAGAGTTTCCGTTTGTTGCTCATCATGTGGAAAGTGCTTTATGATTTCCAACTAGCCTAGGTAGTATATGTAAATTGATAATTTGGCATCCATCCAAGTTTTTCTCTTTTAACAGTTTAAAAAATATTAATATTATATTCTACAAAAAATAAATTGAATGAAAATAAACACTTGTTCATCACTAATCTATTCTATTCCAAAAAATATCGCTCTATAATTACATACTTAAATATATTTCTTAAGAAAGTTTTTACTTAATTTAAACGTAATAGAAATGAAGTAGGAATGCACAAATTACAATAAATAACATAATAAAATTTTGATTTTATACACAAATTTGTTAAGTAATTATATATTTTTATAATCATATTCATATTTATTTGTGTTTATTATTCTAAATCTCTAAAAATTATTCAATTTTCTCTTCATAACAAATGTTTATATCAGCACAACGTAAGAAAACATAAACTAACATGCCTAGTAATATAAATTTAATTAAAGTCATAAAAGTATATGATTAGGTAATAAATTTCCATAAGCATGTTTTAATTCAGTTCATTTTTTAATAAAGAAAGGTTTAATTAATGATCTGAGAGTATATAATATCTTATAGCAATGATCATTACTATTAATGACAGATTAAAACATGTTTTAACAACTAATTAAATACTCAGCAGAAACCTAATCACAAATATTTTACATATACTTTTGCATCTTCTATCTAAAACGTGCAAATAATTAATGATAAATTATTGCGTGTGTGAAAAAAAGCATTTAAAGAATTATCTATTAAATATATTGTATTACACTTATATCATTTATTTTTGGAAAATTTCATATAATAGTGATATTATTAGATGTCAAAGTTTTTATTCTTTTAGATAGGATATAGAATTTAAATATAAACTTATAACTATAAAGTATTGATTCAAATATTAAATAGAATCATTATTGGAATGAATAACTGCTACCGCTTAATACATATAAGGTATAACCATATCTGTTGTTGCAAATTTAACAATTGAAATCCAAAATATAATTAAATCTGCATACAGATCTTGGATCCTAAATTATCAGGGATTTTGCGGACTGCCCGAATAACCTTACTAACAATAAAGCGGTTATCTGGATGCGGCATGCAGTTAAATCCGGATTGATTTAACCGCAACAATTCACGCCCTAATCAGTAAAAATTCTCATTGAAATGTACGTACCTCTTCCAACGGCATGAGTTCCTCTCGTAACGTCTCGATTTTTATATTCAAATCTTTCTCCTTCTGGACGTTGTGCTCTTGGACGTTGAGCGCCTCATATAAATTACTCACTAGCGTTTTTATGTCACTTAAACTGAAATGGAAGAAACGAACACAGGTTTAATTATTTGTGAAAAACTTGGAGTACATTCTTAGAGAATTGTCTTTCGACTACGCCGTAGCAAGGAAATTGCTGTGCCTGTTATGGCACAAAAGTTTGAACCTTCCGCAGAGAACCGAGATTTCGGGACCATCAAAAGTTATGAAAACTTTTACGGGCGCTCTCTAATTTTATTTTATATATGTCGTATATTCTTCAGAATTGTCCCATACCGTTTTAAAATTTAAGTATACTTTTAACCGTCTTGCAAAAACCTATTCTCTCAACTTATTCATTCATATGTATTTGTATCACATACAATATAACATTTATGAACATATAAAATGAATTTTTCATATTGGATTTTTTTCGGTTAATCGCATTTAAGATTCTAAACCTAATAAATTACAAAAAAAATTATCCAAAGAAAATATTATTTTGTAGAGCAGAAGTACCTATTGTCAATATCCCTTTGCAGCAATTTAATTTGAACTTATTTTGGTTATTATAATATTGTATTGAGTTTGTATTTTGGTGATTTATTATTGTAATAAATATTATTATTTTATATTGTATTGTCGCTATATGATATAACCATACATGTAATGATATGAAGTAATAGGTGTTTGAAGTTAAGTTCAAAAAAATTATATAATATGCAATACGAGTTGAAAACTGCTATCATGCTATTTATATCATTATGTGTCATGAGATATAAATGACACATGTTAGCAAACATACAGAAACATTTAAATGTTATCGAATTCCAATATATTATTGTAGAATATAAATATATTAATAAAAAATTTAAAATTACGAACAACCCTTTGGAACGAATCTAGTTCGTAAGTTGGGGTATACGTGTATTGAGATATTGCAAGTTTGGGTTTGTATCAATTTGTAAATATTGGCAAACGTTAATCAATTCGCATATGGACCATGTGGACTTATACTACTTTCACATACTTATTTTTTCTTTACAGTTAGCATAGTGAAGTATTCATTGTAATACGTAGTATATAAGACAGTATACTCATCACATCTCTATATTTCATTCTTTCTTGTTATAGGTCTAGGTATTTTTTTTTTCAAAAGTCGATTTATACCACTTTCATAAAACACGGCTCATATGATAAAAAAAACTTATTTGAAAAAGTCTTGTATTTATGATTGGTAATTTATTTGTTACTAAATATAATATTAAATTATTTTCATAAATTATAAATCGCTTTACTATAAGTGTAGAACTCAAAACAATGTCTTACCATTTTACTTCTTCTCCTGATATCCTGAGTGGTTTAGGCGGGTTAACGATGTAAGTGTTGTCGTTAACGATCAGCTTGAAATCTTCTTCGAGCAAATATTCAACGGTAGTACTGGCGGCTATTCTAGTGTCGTCCATGCTGATCGCAATCACCCTGTCTATACCCTTGTCTTCCGTTTTGAGCATTTTGATGAAGTCACCGACGGTGTTAGTAATGGGCTTCAACGTGAACCGACATCGTTCTCGTCTACTAGGCAAAGGAACTGTGATCTGGGGCAAGCCACGGGAATATTCCACTGTCACGTCTGGAAAATAAGAGATATGTCTATGTTTAAACAAGCCAAACAAATCGAAATTCTTGACGTTTTTAATAAAACTTTCGTCATATCGAAATGAAAGAAAGAATCTAGATCACGCGGTATATACATGTACATTTCCTAGATTAAATTAAATTTGCATATTTTCAAATTTAATATTGCAAGTGAAGAGGAAGGCAAAGCCCTGGATTGAGGACTGCGGAGAAAAAAGGGAAACTAATTTATGCGCATGCTATGCGGAAGGAAGGAAACATCTTTCAAATGTCATCATCCATAAAGGATTTGCACCGAGGAGCGCATATACGTATTGAATGAGGGATGCTTCCATTTTAAAGCCGCAACTAAAATCTCTTTTTATATAGAGGCGGAAAATGTGATGAGCACGTCACATTTTCGTTCAGTTTGACCCAGATTTTTGGAATAATAACTCATAGTTTAAATTAATTAACAAAATATTGGACACATTCAAAGTTCCCAAAACAAATTGAAAACTAATTAATGAATTAATATTATTATAGTACTATAATGCAACAAACTGAATAGTAATATTATTATACTTCCTCTGTCCGAAAATAGTTGCTGCAACTCAATTTCACGTCCAGATTATTATAAATAGTCAAACTTTGGCCAAACTTTGTTTAAATTCGAGATTTACGCTGATGTTGCAAAAGTGATAATCTTACATAAATAATTATTTAACCGCTGTAACATAACTTCAAAATACCAAGAAAACAACTAACCGAGGCAAAAAAAGTATGAAGAATTTAGTAATGATGATTGCAAGCGAATTTTGCATCATTTATTGTAAAATGTCAAAGACTCAAACGAGTTGCTATAAATACCGGTACTGAGAAGTTTTGCTGTTCTCGGTACACAATTTAAAAATTGTGGAAAGAAACTAAAATGTGTAAAATTAACAATGTGATGATTATCGTTGATTCTCGTAAAAAGAAGTGTGGACGTAATCCAAAAGATAGTTAACAGATTCAAAACATTTCCATAATTTCCATCTGCAAAAGAAGCACATTAAGATCATTGACACATGAATCTAAATTTCCCAAAAGTACTTTACAGATTGTAAAAAGAAAAATAAAGTAAGAAAGTTACAAGTGATATTATTTTTAATAAAGTTAAAAATGTTGATTACTATAACTTTAGCAATATTTGCAAAATAATGCAAGAAAGGAAGAAAGTACAGAATAACTTTAACTTATAGCTATCATATATATTTACAGTAAAGTTTAAGAAAATAATTAAAATAACATATAAATGAAACAAGACTTGAAAATTCAATGAACTCTAATAATATGTGTTAATATATACGTAGATAGAAGCTGTAATTATATAGTAATTTGATGTTATAGTAGTCTGATGTTAAGGAACATATTTTTAAATAATTTTCGTCATATTTGCAAATGAAATCATGCCGGTCTCTCTGAAATTAAATTCTACCCAACAAGCACGTATTAATTAAAATCCATAAATAAAGGCTTAGAGTTAAGGACGCAATATGCAGTACAGGTGAAGTGGTATTTAAATTTGTAATGAATGGACCGCCCGATTCCGAACTTGTTATTCTCTAATTGATAATGGGTTATAATTGATGTTACGTTAATTGTAAACTTTCCAATAATCCTAATGGAAAGCATTGAATGTATGCAATATTCCGTTCGACGTTAAAATAACACAAAATCGAGGGGTGGTTCCATGCATATTCCATCTGCACGCGGACTTAGTTCTATTCTATTAAGCATTTACATTTTCATAAGCCTCGAGAGTGCTCTGTAAGAGTATTTATTATCAATGCTAATAGTTTTGTGCAACCTAATTTCTAGATTGGAAAATAAATATAAATCTACACATCGGCTATCTGATTCATCGATTAATTGGAGTTTGGTAATGTTCGCTTCGGAATTTACGATTGGTTTGCATCCGATGCGCGTGTCGCGACTGAGTGTATCCAATCTTGTTTGCGGAAAGCTTGAGTGAAGCATGGACTTGCAATCTTTATTTATCTCGGAATGCGCTATTACTGTCGTAAAGTGTACCACCTATATTTCGCTAATGAACGATTTATATATAAAGGACGACTCGCACAAAACATGTTCTTTCAGCTCGGATTCCTACTGTTCAAACACATTTTCCAATCGGTGTCAATGCGAAGACGAACCAGCCACACCTTCGCCATAAAAAATAATAAGACATTTGTTTGAAACATTACATATATTTAATTAACAACGCAGTAAAAGAAAACTGCACACAAGTTATTTTATGCTGACGAAATGAAAAGAGTTAGAACAGTATTGCATTCACGTTTATATTTCATTACTTTTATTTGCATTATTATAAACATTTATACACTTTTAATTTTATTCACATCTACTACTCTTCCTTTTGATAATTTATTTAAAATAGTCATATAAGATTTAATATATAAAAAAAAACTTCATCTGAATAAGGTAATAAAACTAAATAATGGGATAAAATATTTTTCAAAGGGTTTTCATTTTTCTAGATTTAGCATTAAAAATACAACCGCCGATTTGTTCAACTACAAAGAGAATAACATTATACACATATATTTAAAAAGATATTTTCAGTTGATGTGCATTTGTTTTAAATAACACAGATGTAATTCATTAATATAATTAATGAGTGTTAGATCTATAAGATAATGGTAAAAAATGTATATTTTTATCGAAAATGTTAAATTAAAAAAAATGCATATATATATTTTACTTCAAACACATTTTTAAAAATATGTATTATTTATTCCATTAAATGTTAAAATCTTTATTAATCCGTTGATCAAATTTTCATGTATGACATGATTATTAATATAAACTAAATGCTTATAGCAAAAATTAGATATATTTAAACTAATTTTTACTATAAGAATATTGTAATTTCTTTAACTCTTTGAGGGGCGGTGGTAAATGCATTGTACCACCTTTTGAACATGCCTTTTCTACAATATGTCAAGGAAAGAGGAATTACGACCTTCTAATCAGCAAATTCATTAAAACTATGCACAGATTTTGTTTATGCATACCAATTTTTATTGTTACAAATACTTATTACAAATTTAATTTTTGTTTTGTCTGGACCCACTTGGGTATAAAATTATTAGTTATTGATTTAAAATATTATTTATCAGTTGGACTAATTTAAATATTATTTTAACTGATTTTAACTGATTAATAAGATGATTATTTCTATACGATCTATATTACAATAAATATTACAAGTCTTTTTGAGAGCGATATTTGATATTATTAAATTATTTCAATTTATATTTCATTCTCTAAAAATATTTTCACTGATAATTCATGTTCTTATATTTTCAGGAAACATTTCATCGTGTTGCTAAAAGCAGAGCATTCCCCTATTTATTTTTGATGCAAATAAATACATAAATATTTTCTTATACATTTTCTTATATTCTTTCTTTACTCTTAGTTTACACCAGCGTTTTCCAAACTGTGAGGCGCTCCTCCCTGGGGAGGCGTGGACTAGTCTAAGGGGAGGCGCGAATATTAGTAGCAGTGAGCAATTTTCCAAACATCTGCTAAAGTATAGATACATTCCTGTGCTCTTATCCAAATTGCTGTAATACGCGTTAAACGTTGAAAAATTGAAATTAGAACGTTCGAAAAAGCAGTGTTTTCACATTTCATTGATTTACTCGAAAACTATAATAGATAGAATGAATCCAATATATGCATATGAAAGCTGAATGTTTGGGGAATCCAGCAAGTATAGATACATTCCTGTGCTCTTATCCATATTGCTGTTATACGCGTTCCTTTTATGAAATGGAGGGGTGTGGGGAGGCGCCAAATGATTACATACTTTTGAGGGAGGCGTAGTAACATTAAGTCTGGAAACCACTGGTTTACACTAATTTCCTTTTAATTTTCGATTCACTGCATTAGATTTTTTTAAAATATTTATTAAAGGGGTCCACTTGAAAGCAACTTGTTTATTGAATATCCGTCGATACCATAATGTATGGGTTCAAATCAACAGCGCGTTAATCCCCTGTATAATCAGAATTGAATTAAACTCAGTCGTGGCATGCAATTAATTACGTCGAGTGTAATTAGCGTTCGAAACTCCAAAACAATAACAGCGCGCAATGTGAGTGTATTTTTTTTTAATGCATTATTATTTATTTTCGAAAAGTAAGCATTAAACACTCGACGCGTCAAAAAATGAAATATTATTAGGGCACAATAGGACCTCCTCCTTTTGAAAAATTAATTGCGTATCGCGTGGTCCTGACTTCACACCAATTTAACAACGAGAAATGGTATTAAACTAATTCCACCACAGTATTTGCTTGTCGCAATTAGAGTGTATCAGAGCACAAGTGTGTCAAAATTAAATGCGAAAGGATAAGGAAAAAAAGAAATAATACAAGGTAGCAATCATACATGCACACGCATACGCAAACATTCATATATTTTACTTCTTAATTAGTTATTCAGCTCTGAATAAGCATTAGAGTCAATTAGTTATTTACGAATTCATCAAACTATAATTGAGTATAATCTGCTTTAACATGCTTTGAAGTTTTTGATTTTATTAATCAATATTTTTTTTATAAAATGGTAAGCAAAAAAAAACATTTATCGCAACAAACATAAAATTACATAAATAATTACAGATTAAAAAATGAAGGTCTTTCCGCCCGATTAAATAACAATTTATATAAGTGTCTGATACTGCAAGATATTGCTTGTTGCATTTCAATGCGAATAAAAATGAAAGTGAAACTATTGGGATGTATTAAATTATTTCCAGTTATAAAAGAAATTGATAATTATTTTCTATTAAAAATACATTTTATAATTATTCAATTACAATCATTGTTACCTGTTGTGCATTTAATTTGTCCGTATATAAATTACAATGTTTGGAGATTATTATTTAATTACATAATTATAAAATTGTATAAGAGAAAAACATAATAAAACTGCACTAAT